GTCATTATGAGTCAGAATCTACTCGACAGCATTAACAAAAATGACTAACTATCATGAGCAATTCTTTTTGAGTATTTTGGCTGCCTGTATGTTTCTTTGGTGTAGTGTCTCTTCATGTCCTCTGCCCATTTCTGGACTGATTATCTTTTTGATGTGAGGTATTGAAGTTTTCTACAAATCTTAGTAATTAGTTCCTTGCTAGATACATCATTTCCAAATTTTTCTCCCAACCTCTAGTTTCTCTTGTTACTCTTTTGAAGAAATCTGGTAATGTGTATAAGTACTTAATTTTTAGTAGGTTCCCATGATCTGGTTTAGCTTCTCTTGTGTATTCATTTTTGGTTATGTTTAATAGTGTATTTATGCCATAAACTGTTGTTGTTAACTGCCATTGAATCAATTCCGACCCATAGCGACCCTGTATAGGGTTTCCAAGGAGCAGCTGGTGAGCTTGAAAGACTGACCTTGCAGTACAAACTACTTTGCAGTCTGGCACATTAGCCCACAGCGCCACACCAGGACTCCTATGAAGCTGGGCCCCTAAATTTGCCTCTGTTATCTCTTTAATGAATTTAATAGTTTTAGGCTTTGCTTATATGTCTTTAATCCATCTTGAGTTAGTTTTTTATATATGGTGTACAGCATATATCTATTTTCATTTTCTGCAAATGAATACCCAGTTTTGCCAACACTATTAGTTAAAGAGACAGCCTTTTCAGCAAGGGATATTTCTGTAAGTATAACATTTCAAACATTCAATAAATTCCTCACAGTAAAATACTAAAATTCATATACTGAATGTTGAACTAAAGTCGATCTTAAGAAAAACTAAATTAGATTCTTCAAGAAGTTTATAATGGGAAGAAAGACTTGGCAATCTACTTGCAAAAATCAGCTAACAAAAACGCTATGGATCACAATTATCCGTTCTGCAGCGTTTTGTCCTGTTGTGTCTGGAGTGGCCAGGAATTAACAGCAGCTAACAAAAGGACAAGCTTAATTCCCTACCTATAAAATGAGGACAATAAAAGTACTTACCTGTCTTGTAGTGGAAGAAAAAAAGAAGTTTATAATGTGGAATAAAGGACTTTAGTTTGATGTAGGAGACAATAAACTCCCTGAAACGGATTTAAAATTTATATCCATGTGCATTTTCCTGAGACGAAAGTCCCTAAGTTTTCACCAGGTTCTACAAGGGAGTCAGTGATCCAATGACAAGACCCACTAATCAGTGTCTCTAAGAAAACAAAGGTCATCTGATAAAATTGTAGATAAAAAAATTTACAAAGAAAATTGGCTACCCAAAGTGGGGGCTACAAAGCCAAGAAGTGACTGGCTTACAAGCTTTCAAGAGGGAATCTAGATCCAGAGGGCATGGAGGAAGGTAGAATCTCCACTGAGTAGTACCCTCTGTCTAGGCAGGGCTGATGAAAGGAAATGCAGATAGGTCTCTTGTGATACAATAGTGAATAATTGTTGTCAGGACTGACTGTGAGGGTTGGAAATATAAAGGTAGACGTTTTGTAGTAAGGAGGGGAGTGATTAACTTTTCAGTCTAGGAGGGGAGGTCCCTGGGACCATCAAGGGAGAAGAGCAGAAAGCGGGACCCTACCCAGAGAAGCAATGACGCCAGAGATGGAGGCAGAGAAGATGACGTGGAGAAATGGAACAGCTGGGGACCTTAGACCCAGAGAGGGATAGGGGCTGTGTGCTGGTGACCAGGGGGCAGGCTTGTAGGGTATACCCTTTGGTTGGCTGATGATGCATGGAGCAGATTGTAACCATGGCAATGAAACGATATATGATAGGATAAATGTAAAACTAATGTTCCCCCATGTAAACTATATCACATAATTCACAGTAGAACATTTAAAAAAAAAAAAAAAATTTTACAAAGTAATTTAAAACCCAATATGATTTCTATAAGAAATAAAAAAATCCATCTAGATACAAAGAATATGCTGGAATGAAAATTAACACCACAGAAAGCCACACACATAAATTACATTAAATCAAGGATACACAAGTCTATGCTTCTTGACAGCAGCTTCCTCTGCATCTATTGTCTTCAAATGCAAAATTAATCTTTGCTGCTACCAGAACTGGTGTAGTGTTGTAGAATATGCACTGACTGCTAACCACAAGATCAGTAGTTCAAACTCACCAGATACTTCTTGGAAACCCTATACAGGGCCACTCAACGTGTTAGTAACGGACTCAAAGGAACTTAACAACAAACCTGCTTTAGCCTGTGTATGTACCTAGAAGTTGACAGCTGATACATCCTGTTTTCTCAGATAACCTTAGCTTAATGCATTTCTTTATTTACAAATCTTTACCGTTTGGCATGAATGGCTCTTAAATACAAAATTACAATAATGAAAAAAGACAAAAAATACTGACAATTCTTGTCCAGCATACATTCTAGGCAAGATGGAGAATAAGCAATAAATGAAATAAGTGAATTACTGAATTATCTAGTATATAATTAGTACATAATAGAGAATTCCATTATCTTTTCATTCCACTTTTCCACAACCTTTAAGAAGCTCTGTCATAAAAGTCTAAGAATTGATCTAGTGTGGCACTATAGGATGAGCACTGGACTGCTGACTGTAGGGTCAGAGGTTCAAAACCACCAGCTCTCTCAGAAACCCTCTGTAGTGTCACTATGAATGGGAACTGACTCTTGATGGCACACAACAACAAGAGTTAGGCTACTAAACGAAAAGTCAGCAGCAGTTCAAAGCTACCAGCTGTTTGCTTCTATAAAGATTTACAGCCTCAGAAAGCTTATGGGACAGTTCTACTCTATCCTATAGGATTGCTACGAGTCAGAATTGACTTGATGGCAGTGGGTTTGGGTTTATTACGAACTAGGAAAAAAATAAAGGTGGAAAGAAGGATATGAAGGTTGCAGTTGTCAAAGGAATTGTCAAGGAACTCTCATAAGAATCTGACATTTGATAAAAGACTTCAAAAAGTGAGGGTGCAAGCCACCTAGCTATCTGGGGGAAAGAACTCTAAGCAGAGCAAAGAGCAAGTGTGAAGGCCCTGGTATGTATGAAGAATAGCAAGAGGAAGAGGGCTGTCCGAAAAGAGAAAGAAGGAGGTAAAATTGGGCAGTAGAGGAGGGAGAGACAAGGGCACAAGAGGTCAAAAATGACGTAAGGTCTCACAGATCACAGCTAAAATTCCGTCTTTTACTCTTAAAAAAAAAGCCACCTTTGAATAGACCTTTCTTAACCTTACTTGTGTTTTTGCTTTTTGCTCAGAAGCAGCTGAGCCACAGAAGCACAGGTCTCAGCTTCTTTGACAGCATCCCTGAGTTTTCGAAAGAGATCATTCTCTGGGTATTTCCTATCCTCAGCATCTTCCAGCATTACTCGCAATTCAATCAAATCTGTAAAAACAAAAAAGTCATATACTATAATCAGATACGAAAAAAAAACAATTCCAAAATCTGTAACAACCTCTCATAAGTGAGTCATCAACCTATTAATAGTAACATGCCACAGTTATGAAAATCTTTCCAATGCTGCAAAGTTTATGACCAACCGCTCATTCCTAATCTATATAGATGATTCCTCTCAGGTAAGGCAACATCTCTTTTTCAAATAGTCTTCTATTCTAGTCCACAGATAACAATGGCTTCCCCAAACAGCTATCTACTAAAAGTTAGCTATCAGTCCCATTTTATATCAACATTTTCATTCAAAACAAGACTGTCAAATAGAAAACTAAATCTATATTCAATCAACCCATAATCTCAAATTCCATATGAAGCCGAGGATTTTTTTCTGATGGAGGAAAAATACACAAAACAAAACAAGGCCTCTTTTACGATGTTGAGTTTTCCTATCCAGGAACATGGTATGTTCTTCCACTT